CCTTAATTTGCGCGTGGAAGATATTCGCCGTATTCGACTGCAGATGTTTACGTAGTTTGGCTCGGGTTGGATGGAGCGAGCTTGTAAGCAACTCTGAGGTGAGGCGTCGCGTATTTTGTAATGATCCGATGGAGAATTGGTTGTCCCATCGAATTCAGATTATTCGGCTTCGCTGGTTAGGACACGTATTGCGCATGCTCAGACATCGTCTGCCGCACCGCGCCTTATTCGCAGTTACGGCTCCAGGTTGGAAGAAACCGCGTGGTGGTCAACAGATGACGTGGAAGCGAGGCATGAAGAAATGCACAGAGCGATTAGGTAGAATCGGTGTCTCCCGTCTTCCGGGTTGGGGTCCGAAAGATTCTACAACTGGTTGGCTGGAGACATTAAAGGATATGGTGACTAACCGACAGCGGTGGCGCTCTTGTTGTCATTTCTTAACAAGGGAGAATGCTTGAAAAAAGGTGTGCATGAACACTTAGATTATGTGCTCTGTGTGTTGAACATGGAGGTTCTTTTTTTGCCTCCCTCCAAGTAGACCCAATCCCACTCCGTCTTGTGCTTTATCACTTAATTTGTGTTCATTGTGAGCTTGGCAGCGATCAGTGAAGTCCAATTCACTGTATCTCGCTGTACGGTGATGATGATGATGGAGCCGTTAAAAATACAGACTGAAGAGTGTAACAGGATCTGTTGTTGATCTGATCTGGGACAATCTGCAGAAATTACTAGTAGTCACTATACATGTGGATCACTTTCGTAGGAAGCGTCCCTGCGGGTAACGTGCGCCAATTTTTTATAATTTCTAAAGTGATTATTTTTCCAACGAGGGTTTATGTTAAAAAGTAATTTTGCGTCCTTGGTTTTAATTTGTGGCCATGAGACCATGTCGGCGTTGGTAAAAGATATCCGTTATAGTCTTGAAGTGACTCGGGTTCGAGGCTGGTTGCATAAGGTCGGCACATCTAGGAATAAAACGCCTATAGAAGTTGACTAACCCATTGAACCGTCGAAGCTATTTCAGCGACGTAGTTTCTGCGTACTCTGAAACGACTAGCACCTTGTCTTGAAGAGGTGCTACAACCAGGCTCGGACATACGGTGGCCTAAGAAGGTTATACTTGGTTTTCCAAAAGAGCAATTTGCCGCGGTAATTGTGAAACCGTGCTGGCAAAGACGCGTGAAGAGCGTGCGTAGATGCTGTTGGTGCTCATCCGGGGTGGCGCTGCCTACAAGAATGTCATTTGGATACGCAAAGGTATTATCTAGAACGTGGCAAACCTGGTCGGTGAAACGTTTGAGCTGCGTTTCGGAGACCAAAAGACATAGGCAGAAACTCAAACAGACCAAACGGCGTGGTCACCGTGGTCTCAGAGACATCCTCGGGGTGGACCAGAATTTGATGATACGCACGAACTGAGTCGATTTTACTAAATAATTTACACCCCCTAAACTAGCTGTAAGATCCTGGATGTGAGGGATGGGGTAGCAATCCGGGTGGGTGACGTTGTTGAAGGCGCGTTAGTCGCCACCCGGCCGCCAGTCGCCGAAGGACTTCTTGGAGACTGTGCAATAAAAAAGCCCAAAGGCTGAGGGATGGTCGGATGATTCCAAGATCCAGCATGTGCCGAAATTTAGCGCGGGCTACTTTGAGCTTGTTCGGGGTGAGGCGTCTGAGGCAGCAACGGGCAAGTGGACCGCGAGTAACTGTGTGGTGGACGATATCTGTTGTCGCCTGAGTTAACGTGTCCGGCGGTTTGCATAACTCCGGGAACTCGCAGAGAACAGCTCGGAACCAGTCGGTGGTGTCGGATATATACAGAAGCGGGCTAACCGAAGGAGTGATCGTAGGTGTCCCGATGGTCTTATATGTGGCGAGACTGTCGATGAGCTTATGCCCAACCGGATCAACCGTGAGGTTGAAGTGTCGGAGGAAGTCACTGCCGACAATGGACAGTGGAAAGTCGATGATGATGATTACCCAGGGTAAGCTACGGCCAATACCGAAGTTCACTGTGAGCGCCAGGTCTTAATTTGACCACCCTTGGCTTTTTTCCACTCGGTATCTGCTTCAGCGAACATCGTTGTGAGTGAACGCTCGTCGTAAGTTTTGATGGGTGTGCGATTCGCAGTGACTAGTCCCACTGAAGAGGGACGGTGACGGTGAGCTGGACGATTGCTTATGACGGTGACCTATGTGCTTGTGTCTACCAGGAAGCGTATCCCGGTGTTTCGGTCGGCGGCGACAAACAGACGACTTGGTTGTGGCGAGCCGGACACGGTCGTCGCCCGGGTCGGCCGGCTTACCTATTTTCCGAAGTAGGGATGTAGGTGCATGGCGTGAGGCACCTCTTCGCGGCGTCACCGTAACGGCAGTGATACCGAGAAACTCCAGTCGACGGTGAGCGTGAACGTGAACACCTAAGGCTACGGCTCCTATGGTTGGCGCGTGTCCGACAATATTGTCATGGGCAATCACGGAGTAGTGTCAGCGCTTGAACCTGAGCTGCCAACGCTTTACCACAGGCCACTAGTTCCGCATTATCCGAGGAGGGAGTTGGTTGTGTGGGCTGTGCGACGTGCTGGACCGACAACTGGTCGGTGTAGACTCTGTCGGAAATTTCTGCAAGTTCAGTCAGCGGATTCCGTTGACCAAAAGACTTTAGTATGGAAGACAAGCTCTTTGTTAGATCTTGCATCCGACACAAACGGGGGTATTCTCGCCAATGGTAGGGCTGGCGGCCTGACCCTGCATATAGCTTATGAGTTTCGTAGGTGTATCGAGGCGGTTGACGCCGAGACGCAGGCCGCCGAGTTGTTTAAGGCGGCATTCTACGGATATACCAAATCTGCCCAGAATCGCATCGCAGAGTGCATCGTATGGACGGTCTGGTGGCGGGTTGCATACGATATCGGGCAAACCCGGGGCCATAGACCTGTGAACGTAACCTACTAACTGCGTAAACCTAGCTAACTAATTCGTCACCCTAGCTGACTTAAACTGGACCTCGACTTGTGCCAGCCAAAACTCTGGAGCCTCGGGTATACATGCTTGCAGGCTCAACGCCCGTTTCATCTACCGCAGTGGTATCGCAAGTCTTCTTACCCTCGGAGAATTGATTAAACAATATGACTCAAGTGTGAATTCAACGGAAAGGGTAAGTAATAAAATCGAGAGAAGTATACTCGAAAAAACAGTGAAGCTCAAAGTAGTGGTGTCGTATATACCTATATATATACTTGATGACAGGACCGCGTTAAGCTGGAATAACTGCCCTCTTGCATTTTGTGCGGCGGTCAGGCACTGAGCACTGGGCTTAAGATCCTCGTGAATGAAACTTCCCAGGTCCAGCATTCGGTCTACTCGAGCGAAGACCGTCGGTACCCATCCAAACTCTACAGGCCTGTTGGTGAGGAAAGCTGTTGGGAGACCAACTCCCCTAAACTTTATTAGTAGGAGCCGATGATTTACGAGTTAAAAGCTTTGACCTTCTGACCTCCATCTAACCTTGTAACTTTGTCTAAAAAACAAAGAAAGTTGCTCAAATACGACCTCTTTCTGAAAAAGCCGTGCTGGGCACAGTTAATCAACCTATTTTGAGTAACGTGTTCACAAAGAGCATTCCTGACAATGGTTTCTAAACCTTCACACAGCACGCTGGTCGAACTTACGGGTCTTTAGTTACCAGGTTGCTTCCTGTCTTCACTTTTGTGAATGGCTACCACTGTGGCAGTCGCCCAAGCACTAGGTACTCGCCTAGCCCTTAGGGACTCTTGATAGAGTGCGGTTATTGCAGGGGCGAGCACAGGACCTAGTGGTCTGATGACGGTCGGGTGTAGCCCGTCGCTGTCAGCAGACTTATTTATATTCAAACTTTCCAGGACCTTAAGAACACTACACATCGCCCATTGGATGGGTGTGTAAACGCCCTCGTGGGGCTGCACGCCCGTCGTCTATTTTATAGACGCTTTCCAAATGCCTCCTAAGCGTCTCGCATTTTTCGTAATCTGAGACAAACATCCCACCTCCGGGGTTCTCCACAGTGCGTATCGATTGTTTTAGTACAGTCTTCGATTGCATATAGCTATAGTACCCCCTGGGTTCCTGGCGCGCTCTCTTAACAATTTTAACCTCGAAGGTCATTTTTGCTTTTTTTTTCTAGCTAGTTTGAATATCTTCTCACTTCCTTATATTGTAGTCATCAATCATTCCCTCCGGTGAGAACGAATTCGTTTAACTTACGAGCCCTTTCTTCTATGGTGCGTTTAATGCCCGGCTTCCGTCATTACGGTTTGTGGATTCAATCCAGTTCAGCTCTCCTCAATACTTCCTACCCTCTACGCACCAGTGCACTGTGACTCCAAAATCCGTTTTGCGCTTTTCTTGCACTTATGACTGTGTTGTATATTTGATCATGCTTATGTATGCTTCAGGAGGCTTCGGGACATATTATTATTATTACATGCTTTTTAACTTACATCGGATATCGGATTCGTTTACTCAACTTCCCACTAGAGCGATACACGCAACCAGCTGGAATGATGTACGCACATAAATGCAAATTATGGTTGATAACCGTAGGAGTAGAACGTTGACCCTTCGAACCAAGCAGTGGGTAGTTTTCCAATATATTTTGAGGTAAAGAATAATGGTGCAGTGGTCATAGGTGCTAATTGAGGCTCGTTTAAAAAGGTGAAACATGTTGTGACTATTTACATAAATGCCATCAAGAAAGGCATTGGTACAGGTTGGAAAATTGAGAACGTTCTCTAAGCCTAGAATGGTTAAAAATGAGGTATCAAAGCGATTAGCGCCACCAGCAATAATACATAAGGACTGGTCAATACAACTGGCGAATTGTGTTACTATAGTATCAGGAAATAGTCTTAAGTCGGGGGCGTGTGTATCAGGGACAATATAGATATTCACAAAGTAAATGAAGCGAAATATGCTGAGAAAGCTGGGCTTGCAGCAAACAAAAGTACAGTTAATTTCACTTGTTGATTAAGGAAAAATCAAACGAGTGTTTTTGCACCAACTTTGATTTACGGAAGTGATCACTCCGCCACCTCTGTTGCGAAATTTCACAATCCGATCATCTCAGAAAATATCAAAACCGTCTAATCCGACCACATCATCCTCAATATCTGGGCGTAACTAGCTGTCCTGGAGTAAAATGACTCCTACACTTTTGCACTGTTTCTTTTGCACCAGATTCTGGACGTCATCGATTTCACCCACAAGTGAGCAAATGTTACTGGAACAAATGGACGGAACTGTCACCCTGTTGATAGACCTTCGCCGAAGCGCAACCTGCCAGCCAGAGCGATTCCTTTATGGTGAGAATGAGTTTAATTTCTCTACCTTTTATAGCGGTTCCTCACGGAGTGAGAAAACGCTGGGATTTCAACGACATTCGTGAAAACACAGGAAGATCTTATAAGTAGAAGTTGTAGGTCAGCGTTTGGCCCTAAAAAGTTGGTGAGTTGATGTAAACCTACACGGTCAATAGTGTCCGCTTCAAAAAGGCGTCAATAGTTGTTTAATTTGGAGTAGCACGACCAAAAGTGAAACGCACCGGCACACACATTCAGGGAAGAAGCCTCCATGGTGGCTTGCTGCTGTAGGTTGGGCGATTAAACGTAGAAATCGAAGCTAGAAAGCTTTCCGAGCTTCAAGGTTCCAGATGACTAGGAGACAGTACAAAAGTCATCGTAGCGAAGCCGTTTTGCTCATTAGAAAGGGTAAAAGGGACTATGAGTTGAAACTAGCCAACCGAGCCAAGAATGAGTTGAAACGCTACTACAGCTACGTTCAAGCCAAGGGTCTCAATAAAAAAAAATGATGGTACCTCTACAATTGGAAGGTAGGACCGTCATCGATGATCAAGAAAAGGTAGACGCCTTCTGCACATACTTCAGTAGTGTGCATAGAGTAGATCGTGGTGACCTGGCACTACCGAATCTGCCAGCCTCATCAGAGGAAATAGAGATTACTTATGTGTCATTAGTAGCAGCTCATTGAACATTAGCTGAGATGAACGCAAGTAAGTCTTCAGGGCCCGATGGAATCCACCCGGAAATCGTCAAACCGATGGCGAATATAGTAGCGGGACCGCTAAGGAAGTTATACGAAGCCAGCTTAGATTAGGGTAAGCTACCGTGGGACTGACAAACAGCTGCAGTTGTTGCCATTCAGAAGAGAAGAACACCATCTCAGATTAAGAATTACAGGCCGGTGAGCCTAACGAGTATATTGTACAAGTGCCTAGAAAGAATAGTGAGGATACACATTGCACAGCATTTACTCCGAAACTCGCCGCTTACTTGTCAACAGCTCGGGTTCACCAAGAGTAGATCATACTAATCTAACTGACTGTGACATTTAGACTAGGTAACCTCAAGGTTAGATGAGTGCAAAGCTGTGGAAGTCTGTTATTTAGACTTCTGCAAAGCTTTTGATTGCTGTTGGCTAAGCTCAAACACAAGGGGATAGATGGGAAGATAAATAACTGGATCAGGGAATTATTGACCGGTCGCACGTTTTAAGTGAGAATTGGACACAAAGTATCAGCAAAGTCCATATTTGCTAGTGGAGTACCACAGGGCCCAGTGCTTGGTCCCTTGCTTTCCCTCATTTTTGTAGACGGCTTGGCTGCCATCCTACGTTTGCCATACTTCATGTTTTCTGATGATATCAAGATGGTAGGATCAGCCAATCGGCAGCAATTGCAGGATGACCTGTGTAGAGTAACGGAATGGGCAACAGTATGGGACCTTCCACTGAATGCAGAGAAAAGTAATTTACGTTCCCGTGCTGATGAACAACTGTCAATCCAACTGTGGGGATGTCACCGTAGGGATTTTAAGAACCAGCAGAGACTGGGTAATATTGGTGGCAGCTGATTTCCTTTAGAAGAACCAGTTTGTACTGGCTGCAGCGAAGGCGCGGAGAGAGTTGTTTAGGCTTAAGTCAGTACTATCGTGTAGGAAACCAGACGTATTCCTCCCCTTGTACAAATCCATAATCAGGCCGCACTTAGAGTACTGCGTGCAGGCTTGGGCACTCTTCTTCAAAAAGGATGCAGTCTGCTTAGAGCAAGTTCCAAGACTAGTCACGCGAATGATTGAAAGCCAAAAGGGTGAGTCATCCCAAGACAGATTAAAAGACTTAAGACTCTTCTGGCTAGAAAGGAGGAGACTAAGGGGATACTTACTGGAGACATTTAAGATTGTGAAGGGGCTCTTGGGAGTAAATAAAGAGAACATATTCCGGGAGGCTGCCCACCAAAGCAATGGAGGGAACGGGTACAAACTGCATAAGTAGTGGTGCAACCTGGTTGGTAGGTCGAGCTTCTTCAGTAAACGATTAGTGAATAGTGGGAACCGGTTGCCAAAGGAATTAGTAGATTTTGAAAGCGTGACCGAATTTCACCTCACCCAGGATGAGCAATGGTTGGAGCTCTTTCCAGAATAAGATCTTTAATGTATTATGGAAGGCCTTCATGTCTCTTGTTCGCCGATGAGGTGAGGGGATACGAGCTTTTTCCTTTCATTTTCAGCAAGGACGCCGTACTGAAGGCAATTTTCAGTGATAGGTGCACACTTTGTGAGCATGCCGCCGGAAGAAATCTGGATGCTCAATTGGCCGTCGCCATTATCAGTTTGTGCAACCTGACCCGACCAGCAAGAACGGTAAGTACCCCGCTCGCGGTTTGAATTTTGACGTGCTCTCTGCTATAAACTATTTATACCTATAAAAGGGAATATCTACCTGTATTTCATTTATTATACACTGCCTGAGTTAAACCAAGGCTTTTTTATAATTCAGTGGCCGATCACATGTCACTCAGTTTTACAGGGTTCGTTGGTAGTAATCCGTTTTGCGTAAACAGTTTTGTTTACTGTTTTGTGGCGTACATCCCTGTTCCATTTCTCCAGTTTTGATAGTAGTCATTTTTTATCGGTGTTCATCTTTAACTTTCTTCACCTTTCAAATGTCTGCAGGGACGGAGGTAAACGAGTATGGTGGCTATGGATAGTTTCTGGCTGAGGGTATTCATTGCGAACGGTGCCATCTTTGGTATCATAAGCGCTGCAGTAAGCTGACAATGAAGTTTTGCGACCTATGCACGATACATAGTTCCCTGCTTTGAATCTGTGTCCACCGTATAGCGTTGATAGGGGAATGCTCACGCATCCCCAGGGACAAAGCGGCGGGCAACACCAGCCAGCCGGATCAGCCGAAGGAGACAAAACCCGGGGTGCCCAGAAGAAAGAAAGCAAGCAGTAAGGAAAAACGAAACCAGATGGCAACANACGGCAATAGCTCAAGAGAGAGACGCAGAGGGTGTGGCAACTATAAAAGACAGGTTGTAACGGCTTGAAGAAGAGCTGAAATTCCTGAAATAAACTAATCAAGCAATCCTAGGAAGAGCTAGGAATATACGTCTGCATAACTGCTTTGAACCCGTGATTAGAGACTCCAAGTCTCAGCACAAGGCGGACCGGAAGTATGTGCAGACCGCGTTTAGGCTAGCGGGGATGCTTACCATGACGGGAATTATAAAGTGTCATAGGTTGGGACTGTGGAAAGGCGAAAGGGCCACCCATCCCTGACCTATATTGTTAGTCCTCACGAGTGTGTATGCGAGGGACCGCCTATTGTCCGGCGGTAATAGAAAGCATGACCGCGGACGGCATAATTGTCACCCCAGATAGTGGTTCCATGGTTTGTAGAACTAACTGTCCACCTA